TACCAGATCACGTTAGACAAAGATGTGAAAGCCTGGCTACAACCAAGCTAGGCATGAGTCGATTGCAGTACACAAGAGCATGACTGCATAGGGCTCAAGGGACATAAGTTTATTGGTTCATCAACTTGTGTTGATCTATTGAAGTATATGACAAAATTTACATTTACAAAAATTTACAAATTTTTTTTGTAAATTTGTAAACATCCTATTTACAAATTTTACTATAATAAAAATAGGAAGCATCTAGTTATGTTTCACTTTGAGCTTATTATTCCTCACCCTACAAGATATCAAGGATTATTGGACAAGTTGTTGTGACAGCCCCTAATTATGTTTTTAGGGTAGAAGCTTCTTGCAATCAACAGGTTCGGCAGCTGCAGCAGCGTTGTTTGCAACTGACTTTAATTACGTTTTGGCGGCATGAGCTTCTTGCGATCAGTAGGTTTGGCAACTGCAACAACGGCAATCCGTCGAATCAGTTCTACAGCTTCAAAACCTCTTAACACTGCAACATAAGACAGCGAGCATCCACGATATGGAGTGTGAGAGATAATTAGCATAAAGTGAGTGATAACATCCCTTAGAAAGTAGGCTTTAAAATGGATTTGCTTATCATTATGTCTTTGTTACGTCGCTCTGATAAACAATATTTATTTCTGTTATGAGATGTACTATCGATGTTAATATTGAATTTCCAATGACGACATAATAGCTAGGCCTTTTTCCATAGATATTGCAATCCAATCCTCTCTAAGGAGAAAATAAAGCTATTACGATTCAAGTAATTCTTGAAGTTGAGATGAAAGATCTCTCCGTACAGTGTCAAAATCATGTGCAAGTCAACCTGCCTCTCATCCAAACACACTCCTAGCGCACTCTGAGCCTATGTTTTATGAATACTTCTTTGCCTTTACGGTACCCGAAGGTTTGAAGCTACATAAATGAGGGTTCAGACGTGAGGATGAAAGAGACCGCACGGTATCAATCTAGGTATTTTTCATCTTCAAAGTTGTATCAATCTTCAAATGAGCTCCTCTCTTGATACTTAGTGTTAGAGTTTTGTTTTAAAAACTTCCACAAAGTGTGTAAATGCTCAAAACGGAGTTCTAAAAAAAAATTATCAAATATTTTTTCTTTAATCAACCAACAAGGTATTACTTTCTAAAAGTTTTCATCATAAAAAATTTAAATTTTTTTTCTGCAAATCACAATTAGTTATATAAGTGAAAAAACAAGATTTGTTTAATATAGACTAGATGAAAAAATTCATCAAAGATTTGGCAAAACAAGATGACGATACTGCAATTAGGGAGTTGAATATGACAAGATGAAATATAATCAATGTGTTATTTTCTTTCTCTATGAGAAAAAAGCCAAAGTCAAGATGAAGACTACAAATCTGGATCAGACGTTGGATTCAAAATTGTTCATCTAAAATGACAACTAAAAATGACCTTCAAGAGCAAGACATGAATATCATTATATTAAATTTGTAATCTTTGATTCTAAAAGAAATGTATAAGTATGATGATTGTATTATGTTGTTTGAGGCTCTTGAACACATATTTATTGCAAAGACTTGTCAAACTAATTATATGACTCGTTAAAGCTAATTTATTTCAAGATGAAGATTAAATATTTGACACAACAATTAATGACTGTGATGATTTTGTCAATTGATCTTCAAAATCTTAGAGAGTAGATAAGTAATAAGGTCATAGTTCTTTTTTTCTTGAGCACATTATCTTCATCTTATATCATTGTTATTGAGATATCATCATTTTTAATTAAGTTATAATCCAACTTTGTTGAAATGTCATGTTTTTGTTGAAACATGATTTACATTTAAAGATTATGATCATTTATTCTATACCTTTATTCTGATATAGCATTGAACATGACTCAAAATATGTCAATTCAAGGATTGATTCTTGTATACAAAAATGAATGAAAATTTGAGGATAAATTTTTAGAAAGAAAGACAATGTATGTTGAAAATGTGTCATAAATGATCTTGGTAAGAAATATAATCATGTGAAAATCAAAGATGCTGAACTATTTTTGCAAAAGAAGGCTTAAAAAATTGATCTTCAGGAGTATGATAAACTCAAAAATGGATTTTGATACTAGAGTTATGTTCTATATAACTCACAAAGTAAAATTGATGATAAATAGATTCTAGATAGTGTTCAATCTATCACATTTTTTATATAAATATTTTTTTGTATATTTGCAATATCAAATCATTCAATTCATATATGAAAAAATCAATTTTTGAAGATAGAAAGTATTGAATTTGTTAGAATTAAAATGTTTGATGGAGCCCAACATACGTTTATTCAAGTCAGATTTATACTTGATATAAAATGAATTATCTCTTTTAGAATGTTAGTTCAAAAAATCATTAGATGTACCTCTAGGAAGTAGCTGATAAGATATATTAAGAGTATACAATGGAACATTACATCAATGACTTCACTCTAAGATGCAACATAAACTTTAAAGATGAGAGAATTTTAAAATTATTCTTCTTTTTCTTATATTTTTTTAATAAACAAAAGTAAATAAAGTTTCATTTTCATCATCCATTCCAATGCTAGTGGATTAATGACTTGACTAAAATAACTAACAAGCACACATTGTTGACATGTCACTTTTAATAAAGACACTCAATTTTTAACTAACAAGTACATGGATTGTTGAAGTTAAAAATAAATAAATAGTCTACTAAAATATATATATATCTTACTTATCATTATATTGACAATATGTTTTAATATGAACATAAATGTAGTTGAGCAAAATTTAACCTAGATATAATGCAAAATTTCATTTTTCCAACTCAGCAATTGCAATTTGTATCCAAGTAATATTTATTTCTTTAAAATATATTATCGATGCAAATAAACCAGTAAAAGAATCATCAAATCTTATATTTATGTTTAAAAGTAGATACATATCATATTATTAATAATTTTTTCATGTCAAATCATGCCGTAATTTATTTCTAATATATGCATATTATTTTTTATTTAATTTTTTATTCATAAATTGGTAATGATTATATATAAGCATATATATATATAATCTAAATTTACATGATATTTAAATTTGATAAGTATAAAAAAAAATTAATACTCATGTTGGAATGATAATATATACAAACGTTTTTATTAGAAAAAACAAGACCATCAAAAAATCAGCTCTTTTAAATCTTATATGTATACTATACATGTTCAAAAATTTACTCTTTCACAACTCAAAAAAATTTATCAAATTTTTAAAATTTTGCAAAACATTTAGTTAAACATATATATATATATATATATATATATATATACTGACGTAAAATATCTTCTTTTTTTTTTTTATGTATTTAAGTGTATCCAATAAAATATAAATATGAATAATTGGAAGTTTGGGTAATTTGGACGTAGTGGCGTACGATTGCCTACATTAAGCAGGCCTGACAATAAGTCATCATGACTTATACTATTTTCTACATCATATTTTAATTTTAAATTAAATAATGATATGAAAAAAATTTCAGATCTATAATTAGCTTTGAAATTTTTTTTTAAACTATACATAGATTTGTTAAATTAGAAATCATAGTAGTAGTGTTTTTTGGAAATTTCAAATCTATCTGATGAAATCTACAACTAAATTGTATGTTTAAGTATTAGTGTCAAAGCTAGATTTAACCATCTTTATTAAGTGATTGCTAAAGTAAAGATTGCCTTTAGTGTGAATTTACAATTTGATTTTCCTTATATTGAGCCATTTATAATTGAACTGTAAGCCATCCGCCTAATTGATGCGAAGATATCTATTCAAACCAAACAATGATTGTGGTGAAGACACTTGAGAATAATCACATGTACATTTGGTAGCAACATCTCTCAATTTCCTGACCTTTTTTATTGAAATCTTTATATAAACTCTATAACGATCAGATCATCTTCTAAACCACAGTACATTTGCAAACAGTCCAAAATATTATACTTTGGATCATAATTATCAAATATTCAAAGATATTTTTTTTCAATATTTACTAACCAACACGCTATTCACTTCGAACTAAAGTTTCAAAAGACTGGAACAATCATGATAACAAAAATTAATTAATTTGATGCTTGTTATCATTTTTTTCTCGAAGATTTGCGACAACACAACATCCTACATGTAGTCATGATAAAAAAAAAAGTTAAATTGTAACGTTGGTGTTACTTGACTTCAATATACCATGATTGAGAATCTATGAATGTGAAGTTGTAGAAGTATTAACCCTCTTTAGATGGGCTACATCATTGGGATTTTATCAAGTTTTTTTCCCCCACTTCAGGGGTTGTAGTGGACAAGATGGAACATTTCATAAAACAATTTGGAAAATTATGTCAAGCCTCGAGCAATTGGCTGTCACGGTGTTTGCAAGGTGAATGGTACGCTTGAAAGCAACTAATGTGCAGAGAGTAAGTAAGGTGCATGAACTCATGATATGCTCACCTCTGTATGTCCATGAACACTTCGAAATCGGAACTCATCGTGGCCCAAGGCACAAAGCACGCAGAAGAAGAAGAAGACGGTCGACATTCCGTTCGGTCAAAGTCTCAGAACGAGGAGTGCATCGACCGTCGATGTCACGACACTAGGCCGGAGGGCGGACACTCGCGGGTCGCCAAAAGCACGTGGCACGGCGCACATGTGATATTCCCCGTCATCCGACCACGTGTCTACGAGAAACTCTTCTCGCGCGTGGCCAAATGGTGCATCTCACGGCACCACGATTCGACGAATCGCTCGAATCTCATTGGACGGACGCGCGAAGTTCACCGGGCAGCGAAACGTGCCGTGACTGCGGCGATCGACGGTACGCGACGGTGAGTCCGCCGGCAGTAGGCCTCCTCTCGTCCATCGAATTAGATTCCGGTCCGGGGGGGCAGAACCGATGATTCCCCAAGTGACAGCGGTTGTACAAGTCTCGTATACTCTGAAGTACAACGTCCGATTGCCAAGGGGGCCCCTCTGGGACGACTCTCCCACAAAGCCTCCAGCTTTGTGGGAATTGGGTGAATGTAAATTGAACGACTCTGGTGCCGGGTCAGTCACGAAGATCACTGGAGGAGAAGAAGGAGGAGGAGGAGGAATTGATGCTCCTGCTGCTGCAGCAGCTGCCGGAGGTGGGTCGACTGTTGATTCATTCTTCGATCCCTGTTGAGCCAGCTCGAAGAGGGAGGACTTAAAGGAGCGAGGTTCAAATTTAGAGGCCTCAGAAGTGGCGGCCTATGATTCCTCGGGGCCGATTGTAGGTCGCTCGCGTGCCGGGCTAAGAATCGATCATACAGTCGTTGATTGCGTACACGTTTTCAGTCGCTCTGGGGCTCAACCAGCGGCCGTCCTAGTGGCGTCGGGGGTCGGAAGTCTTCGTAGCCAGCGGTTGGTAACTGGAGTGCGACGCAATACAGTTCGTCCCATAGGCAGGGAAGAAGAGCGCAGTGCATGCAAAATTCCTCTTATAAAGTTCGTCGGCGATCGCAGGTTGCTTGGATTGTCTGCGTTTGTTTGAACAATTCGCTGGGAACTCTTGCGTTTCTGAATTTGGGTGTTTGAAGAAAGCACGAGGGTTCTAAGGAGGATCTCTTGCAGTCCGAGGGGCTGCAACGCATCTTCCAAAGGTCTGTACTTGGATTGAGGAGAAGGGAAGAAGGCTTGGATTGAGGATTGTTCGTGTTGTGTGTTGAGGTCGAGTAGCAGAGACAATTCTTGCTTCCGTCGGACGCAGGGACTTGAGCTCACTTTGGAACGATTCGAAAACGGCAGGACAGTAAAGGATCACCGATCTTTCAGAGTCTCAGACAGGAAATGGCTGCTTCCCTCTGCCACTGCCTAGTGGAGATTGGAGGCAAAAGTGTCGCTCCAAGTTCCCGAATTTCGTCTTCCGGAGTGGAGAGCGCCCCCCTTAGCGTGGCTTTTGGAAAGGAGAGCTCTGCTGTCACTCTAGGGACACATAGCAACGGCAAAAGTATGGACGATGTAGTTGACAGGTAATTCTATTCGACACAAAGTTGTTTTTTTGGGTTCATGAGATGTATATTGCTGGAAAGTGACCGTCCTCGCTGGGTAAAGAGTTTTAGACATCGAGTGCTGGAATTCAAACAGTGAAGGGTATTGTCATCCTCGCTTGGTCGTTTATTCGCTTAGTCGCTTTCCTATCTGAAGAAAGGCCATCCGAAAACTTGTCTACATCAGAGAGGTAAAAGTAATCTCCTTCTCCTTAGCTCGAGGAATTATCCCAAGCTGCAAAAGTCTGCCGAGAGAGTGATTTGTTCCTCTTGGCGTTGTCATCATAACTATCCGTTACAAGCTTATTTTTTTAACTAGAATTCCTCTTGTTCTGGCCCCATCGTGTGCAATATGAACTCATCTTCCGACTTTGGATTTGGTAATCATTTGGGTTTCCCCTGTTTCTGCAGATCTGTTCGGTGGAGGACAAACGCTACTGCAGCAGCTGCAACTTTCACTCTATTCTCAGCTGCACCTGGTGTGTTGGCTGCTGAAGTGGACTTCGCAGACTCCACGACGAGTCATTCTGTTCCAGGAGACAGCAGCTTAAGCATAGCGATTCCTATTCCAGATCAAGGGACGTGGATATTTGCGCAGAATGGATTTCTCGCTCCGCCACCGAGAGGCAGTGTTACAGGTGTTGCCAGTATGCGCTCCCAAGGGGGTTGTCCTTCCTGGCACCCAATTCAGTTCGAGATGGTTGTTCCTGATGGCGTGCACCCAAAGTCATTCCCCAGGCAAGGCCCTCAGTGGCCTGCGATGTACATTATGGAGGACGAGTCCGAGGTTCTTCTGAGTGAGGTTGTCGAAACAAGCGATCCCAGTATCAGATACGCATCGATTCTGGATGCACTTCTCAGGATGGCCGACAGCTCTCTCACATGCTTCAGGTTGTAAAATATATTTGTCACGCTCCTGATGCGGAGAGATTCGGTTCTGCAGATTGTACAGGAAGGAAAAATCTGCGGACTTGCCCTCGAGGTGCTGCTGGTAAGCAGTTGCCTCTTTGATGCTGTTTTCCTCAGTGTACAGAGAAGTTTCCACGCTGCAGATCACAGCCCTCAGTGGATGCTTCGAAACTACTTCAAAATTCGGTGAAATCACATTGTAGGAATTGGAGACCTTGTTTCAACGATTCATGTGACAGCTTCGTGTACAGCAACAACTTCGTGTAACAGACTTGAAGTTGGTAGTAAACAGGTGAAAATTGAACGACCACCATATAGTAAGATAGGATGAGAATCCAACTGCTGTCCTGGTTAGTGCATGGATTCTTCACCGAGTATGTCTAACTGTACTAAAATTTGGATTTGTCATTTGATAGATTTTTCAATGAGTAGTAGCAGTGCAGACTGTGTTTACACACTCTTGAGGCACTCAACAACATTAGTTGTGTTTCAACATCACTGCATGTACACTATTTTGTAATATTTCGTGATCATTCAGATTTTTAGGAGCAGATTGTACAGGATTATTTGTTCATAAAACTCATAAATAAGTCTGCATGCAGCTGTCAAAGGCTAAGAGCAGTTTCAGTATTTCTGTCAGGATGAAAGCTACATACTTTGAGACCGATTTCATTTGATATCGTGGTGTAGTATTGCTATAATACCGGTACTATCTCATTTCCCTGCAAACAATTATTATCTTTAGTGTACTCCATTGAGTTCACAGCAGATACTTCAATAGTAGTTGTTTTAATCGTGTAATAGGTTGATGATATACACATGCAACTTTGTCTCCTTGACATTCGTTATAGTCACGTCAAATAAACTCTGAAGGTCTGGAATTGGACAATCCTCAAATCGGACCTCACAGAATTCTTACCAAAGAAATGCATATAAAGAAGTGCAGTCACTCTACTGCATTTCTTTACATATTTGCGAGCCCTATTGGTCCTTTGTTTGTGTTTAAACTAACCTTGGCAATTCTGACGCTTGTTTTCTATTCCATGACTCCTTTGGGATTTATCTGAACACTAAATTTTATCCATTATATGAAAAATATTAGCGGATGAAAATGTATATTTCTTTGCGAACACAATCTGCAATGCTAGTTCACAGGATAAAAGAATGGGCAACTCTAAACCCAATGTTCTATCTTCGAGAGACTAAAATCGCTCGGTCAATAAAATGGTAAGGTTTAATCACCGATATTGACTTATATTTGGACATTCCCCCATGCAGGCGAAACCGATTTGTCGAGGTTGTAGAGACAGAATAACCTTGACATTTACGTTCTACTTCACTGGCTGACTCCACATACCTACCACACTATCCAAACGTTTTGAAGCAGTTCCTCATGCATTGGAAAATCTGTCTAAAACACACCTTTAAAAAGAAACAGAGCACGTGATGTGTGCCGTGTACGTGGTAGACAGTGAAGCATTCACTTGCTGCGTCTCAATAATCTCAGCAGTTCTATTATCCATGAGGGAGTATGCGACTACACCTGGTACGACGGCAAATTTTAGCAGCTGCAGTTCATCCTTTTTCCAACAATTGCAAAACATATTGTATGAATTTGACGTTGATAAGTTCAGAGTCAGCTAATCGAAAAATGAATAGAACATGTAATTTTTTTGAACAACTTTCAAACGGAAACCTTTGTATGTACAAATATACTGACGTGTAATTTAGTGTTCATCATCAAATGGAGATTTTCAAGTTCCAAATAAATTGCACTTCTAAATCTTGAAAGTTGCGTACAAACTTCAAGTGATGACCCGGACACAATCATATTTACTATATATGTAACACATCTGCACGCGAAAACAATGTACTTAAGTATTTTTCACCAATAAGGAAACTAAAGTAAATTATATTATGATTTAACTACAAATAATCTAACCTTTTCATGATGAAGTATGACCAACTAGGGTAATGAAGTTAGAAATGTCAGAACACAAAGAATTCCTTATATCCATACATGACAATATCTATCTTCTCAGCTGAACTACCCAGAGTTTCAGAAAACTTCACGCTAAATCTAGGATTGAAATTGATATTTTTCACAACCCCTGCATTAAATTTGTGCTACAAGATGAATTATTAACTCATACAAAAGAGCTGGACTGGAATATTGTTGTGAAACAAAATCAAGATATTCGAAATTTTCTGAAAGGTGCATCAACTATAGTAAATAACTAAAGAGTAATCAGTCCACTAAATCCACTTTTTGGATTGATTAATAATTTATGAAAAAAAATCTGATCTTTTCGAACATGTTTTTCTTCGAGGAGGACAGACTCAGAATTTCAATTTATAACTCCTCGAATGATCTTTCTATTTATTTATGACTTACAAAATCAGTAATCAAAATCAAAATATGGTGAAATTTAATCGGTAGAGTCAGGATCTGAGTTTGTCTTGAAGACAGAAATCATGTAAACTTAGTGTCAGTAGAAAACTTATGTCTATATCATTATATAAACTATGATTTAAAATATATGGAAAAAAATCTAATACTAAAAGAAACACCATGGAATTTGTATGGCTAAACACAATCATTTTCTTCTTGAAAAAGCTTGCTAAATTTTTATCAAGACATGTTTTATGATGATCACACTCTTGGGGATGACGTCTACAATCATCTCGTGTACACTATTCAAATCTCATATTACAACATTTTTTTCACGTTTCTCTTTTTAATTAAAGTCTCACCTCGAACACGAAACCAATTAAATTACAGAACATAACATTAAAGACATATAAGGCTTTGATATAACCAAGGGTAAGTATCTGTTCAAAAATAAAAAAAAATCACTTTATGACTTCAGGTCATACATATTTCCAAACTTACAGTCGGATTTGATGGGATATCAAGTTACCAAATATTATGATTTATGTTCATGAAATGTGTTTCAAGAGTATCATTCTAATTTTGTGGACTCACTCCCATAAAATCCCAGCAGGAGGTTGATCTTTCTGGCTTCAGTCCGATCGAACTGATGAAGCCGGGAATCCAGACCTGTTTCCACGAAAAAATTGATATAAAACGCGCAAAGCATCACTCAGATTCTCTCGTCTTTTTTATACGCTTGAAAGGCTGGAACATAATGGAGCAAGGTGGGCATGGATGGCATTCCAGAGAAGATTTCGAGCATCTTCCTGTTTTGATTCCCGTCAACTTCGCCTGTAAGTACTCTCTCGCTGTGACAGGCAAGCAGGCGTACGTGAGAGGGAGCTTCTCCAGAATCTCAGAGGATCGCCAGTCTCTCTAGGGATTACGACCGACTTACGATTGTCCAAATCACTTCCTCGTGGTGGACTCACTGGCGCTAGCTAGCATCACCCGAAATCATGTGCACCTTGCAATTCTGTTGCGGGAGAGGAACTCCACTACGACAGAGTACGAAAAGTGTCAAAGAATATCAGCATCGATTTACATGTTCTGCTTCCGTAGGCTGTACCGATGGCAGCTTGAAAACCAATGGAGTTCTGCATCGAGCGATCCGACGCACATAGTGATGATAACATCCAGAAGTCATATGGGACGTGAGTTTCGAGGTTTTAGGTTTTCGAGCTGCTGAGTATCGAACAGTGTCTCGACTCGTCGCGCATCCTGCAATTCGTACAAGAAGAAGAGATCTTCTGTCGCATGACAGGACAGGACAGGGGACCCGAACTGCTTCATTCCCATCTCATGTCTTCGACCGAAAAAGCCTGTGAATTATTCAAGGCTCCTCTCAGTGGTCATTTCAGTCTTCACACAATTATATATTCCCTCGAATCTCCCGGGGACGCGAGATTGGCCTGTCAGACAGGGCCTCACAAGAAAAAAATGCCTATGAATCAAAGAAGTTCACAACGGAAGAAAAACTTCGACAAGAGCAGAGGTTAGGTTTAACGCCAATAGCGAACAGCTTGACACATATATGATTTTGTGCACATCGCGCTGGCGGAGGGGAGAAAAAAGTGACGGATCAAAAATCGCGGCGCAAATTCTTCGTTGCATGCCGGGAGAGTGATGTCATTCAGGCGAGGTACTTTGCGAGGGTGAGGGATGAAATATAACAAAGATCGCTGTGCGCTAATCTACTCTATTGTGGGAGTGATCAGAGAACACGGTACGTCAAGACGTTTAGGGCCCTCGCATGATTCTCTCGTTACGCAAAGCGTTGGAAGCTGAATCGAATGAAGTGTGTCGAAGCGTAGTGGAGGGAGGACATGACCTCAGGAATCCGTTGTCCTCCCTCCCTATAGGACAGAGTTTGCACATCCTGCAAGATTCCGCCTTTTCCACCAAAACATTTGTTGGGAAAGCTTTTTGAAACTCTCCCCAAGCAAGTACAATCAGTCAAACCTTGTAGCTATGAGTTGTAAGAAGTCGGACTTTCCAAAAGTGTGAGATCAGGTCACCGTATGGTCTGTTGGTAGAACCATCATCGGTCTCTACATTCCACCAGCAAGTTTTCAACTCTTGTGCTTGCCCATATCACGGCTACGCTGACTACTACTTTGCATGATTTTGAGCTGGCCTGTTACAACTTCAACTTGCTTCACCAAATTGCTCCTCAACTTGCGGAAGTTTCACATTCCAAGGAAAGTGTCTATTCAGAGTTTTATCCCCGAGGGATTAGCGCTGGGCTGTCGGGATTGGTTTCCATGCAGAGCCTACAACTCTTGCAAGTACCGCAGAATCGTAATACCTGACTCCAAATTGAGCTTCGTGGCTGGACGATCGTTTTCACGAGCACAAGCTTTATTTGAAAGTATGCTGCGTTACCCGCCATTCGCCTGTTGATGAAAGGAAACGAAGAAATGCTTCCTTCATGTTTAGCAAAGGTTCCATGAATATGAACGATACTCAATCGGCAAATTAGCACACCCCGACCAAGTCAACAAACAGATTGTGAATAAGCTTACTATAGCCTACTATACATGAGTCCTATCGATCGATACACACGGCTCAGTCTCCTTGGAATCAAGCTAAGCTCGGAAACTCAGCAATATAAGCAACTTTCTGTCGGCTTGAGACCGATAGTTGCTTATATTACTTGACCTAGTCGAAGAGGTTTGAAAGATTTGAAAGTCCATGTTCAAAAGCATTGCCTGGCAGTTTGAAAGAGGTCTTCACGATTGGATACTCAATAGTGTGCGCAATTCCATAGCCCACCACCAAAACAGTGTACGAGTTGCCAATCTTTTGACTTACATAAGTCAAAGGACAAATGCTTTCATAATGTAGCACATAATGTCATACTTTCAGCTTGACGCGGCAGAAAGGATCGAGCTCGATGCGGAGCGTTCCACATGTACGTCGGTGGGACACCGCGAGCACAACCAGGGGTCCATTAATAGTCGATCCTGTGTTTCCAACGGAAAAAGCGCGAAGGAAGACGCAGTTGCAGTTTGCGCGGTCAAAGCTTGCATGAGGAGGGAGTGACATACTTCCACATGCCCACGCCTCAACTCCACCGCCAATTTTGGCCCACTCATTTTCATCATGCATCGTCCTCAGCACACATGATTTGCCCAGTTTTCCTATACAGTACCATGTGATTTCTCTTTGCCCAGAACTCAAATTAACAGAATTTCGGGAATTAAAGTCCAGAGAGACCAATAGATAGAGAGCAGGAGTGAAGAGAACCGGGACCCATCAAGGGAAAGCCGGTCAGCCCTTGATCAGGAGTGAAGAGAACCGGAACCATCAAGGGAAAGCCGGTCAGCCCTTGACCAGGAAAGAGTAGACCAGGTCAGGTAAAGGTTGTGGAAAACGAGTAGAGACTTGTGAATGTGCCAATTGTTGAGAAGGCTTGA